CGGCTCCAAATTGTCCGATCCATCGTAACACAGATGCACAACTTGCAACAAGGAGGAGACATGGTGAAGAGGAAGAAACGGTCTAAAGTGTGACTTCATTTCACAAAGAAACTCAAACTACTACAACTCTACTCTTGTTTCTACACTTTGTTCAGATAAAAACAGCTGCATTGATGTGAAAACCTGTGTAGGCCTACTTAAACAGGAATTAATCAAGCAATATCGATAATGGTATTGGTATCCCATCCAAGCTGTACTCCTTTTAAAACTACTATAACTGATATGTGATTTTCTCAGTTTAGCATCAACTATACGTCGTAGAACTGTGACACACTTTCATGAACAGCGTTTATTTTCCACTAGACTGTAAACTCGCACACACCTTTGAACTATTTTAATGTCCTGTGTTGCAACTAAAAGGTCTTCTCCTGCGTCTTGTGTTACCCTATTCAGTCTCCGCGGTTGCTGGGGGGGGGGTCTATCTCCTTCCAGTTCTTTGATTTGGATTCGAGCGGTGCATAAGTTGTGAGCACTATATGTGGTACAAGGAGCTGTTAGCACCTCTGCATCTCCACTGTTAGCACCCAGGAAATGTGTACTTCTTAATAGGTGATTGCAGATTCTCAGATCTGAGTAGACCAGGTCTGAGCACTGTCTGTCCAGCAGTGTGAGAATCTTTAACATGGACGTGTGAAATGTGTCACGTCCTTTACACTGCTCCCTCCATCCATCCATCCATCCATCCATCCATCCATCCTGGTGTCTGTTTTTTGCCCCCTGCTGTAATACACTGAACTACACACACCTGAAGGACTCCCTGGACATCCTCGTCCTCATCCTGATCCTTTTTCTGTATGTGCACCCATTCAGGGTCTTTACTTTAGGTCTGCTCCTAACACAAATAGAGCCAAAACTCTGGTAATTGAATGCATCTCAACTGGTTGTTTTGGTGAAAGTATGTTTGAAATCAGGGTAAATAAAACCTGAAATTACACAATAATAACATCTAAAATTAGTCAAACTAATGAATTACTGTTGCATCTACACACCAACATAAGATATTCTTTATTAAATTAATAAACAAACTACAAAAACAAACAATAATAACCAAAATCTAAGAAAAACCAAACTGTGAAACAAAAGTTCATTGCATATAAAAATAATAACGAGGGAAACAATACTTAGAAAAGGAAATCTTAATCCTAACTGTAGTATCAAAATAATCATTATTATATGAAAAGCTTAACCTCTCCAATATAATTAAATATACCCTGCTAACCAAAACTCAATTATAACACAAACTCTCTCATTCAGTCAGTCAGTATTCCTGATTGTAGCGTATCTTTATATCATAAAGTTTATGAAGAACGTATTGATGTTTGAAGAATCTCCCACAGCACCTTTTATAATGAAAACCTTTTCCAAAATAAGATAATGTTAATAATACAGGTGAGAAAACATGGTTGACAGAGCTTAATTCATGTGTTTATTGTGTTTATAAGCCGTAAATCCAGAGTGTGTAAATAAATGCAAAACAATGGACGAACACCATTATCAGCTGTGTCAGATAATCAAAGTAAATCTAATGTCATAGATTGTAAACATGTTCTGCTTCTTGCAATAAATACATTTACTTCCATTTATTAACCTAACTAATATTATCATATAACAGGTCGCTGTTAATATATATAATTTATTAAACGTTTTACCGTAACTCACTTCAGCCAACATTTGCTTTTTACATTTCTTGGGAAATATTTTGCTTTATTGGTGTTTTGTTAGATATTTGACAGCAGTTTGACTTTCTGGTTTGTCCTTTCTGAAACAAACACCCAGCAAACGCAGACTCATCATCACCTTTTGTCCATTTACTGTCTTCTGTTCTTCTCTCCACCTCTTCATTGCTCTTTCTGGAATGTCTCTCTCTCTCTCTCTGTGCCTCACATACCTGCTTACTGTTGCTGTATTGACACACTCACACACAGATTTAGGGCCTCATTATGCAGGAATGCGCAGTATTTCTTTAGATTGTGTGTGAGTGTGGATGCTGAGATGCTGCACTGTAGCAAAGTAAAGATAGCGCTCTTTAGAGCCTCCCTGACAATTTCCTCTGGCTAATGACACTCAAGTCTTATCAATACTCAGCCAGCTCCTCCCTCTGCCCTTCCTCACACACTCTTCCCTGCAAACCCCACACCCCTCGGCCTTATCTTAATTCAAACAGCACCAAAATCTCGCATATTTTTAGCCCTGGCTCCTCTTCCAGCTACTGTAGACTCCACACCGACACCTTGCTGCTTACCCCGCCTCTTGTGTAAAGGTGTATTTTTAGGGTGTGAGAATTAGAGGTTTGAGTGCAGGATATGACAGCCCATAAGGACTAAGTGCAGGATATAACAGCCTGTGTGTGTTTAGGAGAGGGAGAGGGATGGAAAACAGTAAAAAAAACAAATGTGTGGTGTTTCTCACCTGAGTGATTAATGTTTGTAGGACAGCTCTCTCTTCTCAATAATGTCTGTGTGTGTCTTTCAATGTGCAGCTGACAAGGTATAACACAGGTTTCGATGATGTTATTTGAAAAGTAACTGAAGATTGGTTTGGTTTTTAGTTAAAGTGATGCAGTTCAACAGAGAGCGAGCTGCACCAGATGTGAGCCAAGAAGAGCATTCACACAACTTCAGTGTCACGAGCCTGCCGACTGAGACCGGCTTCAGGTACACGGATTACACTCAGTCACACACACACACACACACACACACACACACACACACACACACACACACACACACACACACACACACACACACACACACACACTCTCTGTCCATAGCCCCTTACAGACGTACGTAAAAGTGCTTGAAATTTTACATGTTTCTCTCATGTTTGAATAAGCCTCAGAGTTAACTCTCCGTGCAGTGTTTGTCAGCAACACGGCTCCAGTCTGAATCAAATGCTGTCTCATTAACATGAAGCCTTCAGCAGAACAAAGTTAAATAAACACAGAGACGATGTTAAATGTGGTTCTAGGTCCAAGTTCTGGAGAGTACTGTAATACTTTTGTTTAAGAGAAAACAATCGGTTCAATAAACCCTGAAATACTTTGAATGGGCCAATTTGAAGTTGTGATTTTCTTCTTATGATAGATCCAGTTGAGCAAAATAAATAAAATATGAGCGAATAGGAATTAGTCCAAACCTTTTGGGGGGGTTTTTTGAGTCTCTGTTGCTCTTGAACCACAAAATAAGTTTTAAAATCCGTCCTTGTTGCAGAAAACTGAGGCTTCATTTCTTCCTTCACATCATTATTTCAAATTCGTTAACTTTCATGTACCAGAGGCTGAATATTGCACAAATGTTTGAATAGAGCCACTAAGGAACATTTATGAACCAGTTACTTACATTTTAAGAGCAAGGCTGGGACACGTATGTTTTTTGTTATTGCTAAAGAAAATCTTTAAGACTTTTTAGCCCATTTATTACTGCAGATGTATGTTTTTAAAGAAGGGTTTAATGATTTGCTAAAACAGATGGGAACTGTATTTATTGTTGCAGCACCACTCAATCACAACACATCTAAATCATGATTAAACTGTGTATTTGTTGGGGGGAAAGCAGCCTCATCCATACACAGACTAAGAAAGCCAGCAATGTTGCAGATTCATGTGAAAAGGAGGCTTATGTGCTGTCATCTGTGTCACAGGGAGGGCTCCAGTCTGGAGGAGGTGGTGGAGAAGCAGGCCGACCTGATAGAGTACCTGAAACAGCACAACACCTTACTGAGCAAGAGGCTGCTCAACCTCACCGCTCAGCACTGACCACAGCCCGACCTCCTCCTCCTCCTCCTCCTCCTCCTCCCTGTGCTCTCTTCACATGGAGGAAGAGGGGATTCTGTGGGGTTTGAAAGAGAGGCCAGAAGCAAGAAGAAAACACTGGATAAAAGACTAAAAGAGAGAAGAAATCCCTGCGCACACAAGCACCTGCGCGCACAGATTTAAAACACGGAGGGTTTCATCCTCACCTGAGATGGACAGATAACGCAGGAGGAGGTGAGCTGTAAGTGGACAGTTAAAGAGGAGGAGGAGGAGGAGGAGGGGAGTCATGGGTCACAGATCAGAGGTGAGGGGTTTTTATCACTGTCTTACGACCCCCAGTGACCCGTATGTGCTGCCGCTTGTGTCACTGTGAGTGAAACAGATGAGGCCAAATTGTTTTAGAGATTATCTGCACTAAGGAAAAGAGTCGGAGCTACAGGAGGCGGGAGAGGTTATCACTCATCAGGGTCAAATCAAGAGTTGTTCAAGTGCTATTTTATGTCTGAATGTGTCAGTGCTTTATTTGGTAGGTTTTTTTTTCTTCTATTTGCTCGATGAGTTTGTGTATTTGTGATCTGATTCCAATAAATATTTAATATTGTCATTGTTTTTGTTTTATTTTATGTTTAAGCCTTGTCAGGTTGAGAGGTGAGGTTAGTGTGGGGTTACCCAAGTTAAGTGACAGCAGTTTTAAGTGTTTATTTTTGTGTAACGCACTGTGAGAGCTCAAAAGGAAAAGATCCCAAACAATAGGAAACACCGCAGTGTCAACGTCAGCCGGCCTCATTTGTCTTTTCCCGCCCTCGCCCTTTTTTTTCGCCTGTGTTAAATTTCAACAGTCACGGGAATCTACGTTAACGAAATATCGAGGTCGTCATTTGAACCCCTTGGTGTTTGCTCCCCCGTTGTGAAGTCTTTATGCCCCTGCGTCCGTAACTCCACAGGGAGCGCCGCATTTACGACTCCGTTCCCATGTGTGGCTTCTCCTGGGAGCTCGGAGTGACCCCGGAGTACCGCAGGTAGCCGTTCCACCCTGTTTGATCTTCGGCTTTTAGGTCACACATATAAAGATATTTGCTTTTCCTCTTTAATACTTTAATACTACTGAATTTAAATGAAGTCTGGCTTAAAAACCTGGATCTTTATTTGGATCCTAACAGGCAAATGAATGAAGTAAAAACAAAACCTCTACATTGATACATTTGTTTTTATTAAAAAGTTTTAAATGTAATTCAATAAACATTTGAAGTGCATACATGCATTATAAACACTTTGTAGGAATAATATGTTGATGCTGTTCATCGTAGCTGCAGTCACTAGGATGTTTGCAGCTCTTTGGTCCGTAGCTTTTTAAGTCGATCGTCGAACTTGCAGCTCCTTCTCCCTTTGTTCTTGTTCAGCGCACGGGTTCTGTGGCTTTTTCGAGGATGAAGAGGGGAAGGTGTGGATCCACCGGGACGCCCAAAACGTTTGCATGGTTTTATATTTTTCAATTAAGAGTCTTTTCAGTTTCTTGTAGCTCTTTTTGGGCAGCTATGGCAGTCCCACGGTGTACGCTGCTTCATATTCCTCTTTCTTTAGGCTCATTCTTGTGCTTCAACCTGTAATGGGGGGACAGAAAAACAGAATTTAGTGTCCTGCTCAAAAAGTAGTTCAGGGTAACTTTAAGTAGCTGTGCGTGTACAGGAGTTCAAAAATTAAAGCTGAAACCTCTCCCCTTTCTCTCCCCAAACACTCCTCAAGGCACTAAATCCTTCCTCTTCATCGTTAGTGAGATTTATGTCAGAGCCTTTTCCCCTGGCAGCACTCCTGTTCTGCGTGAATACACACCTCTGCCACTAATCACACACACCTTCTTAACGGCCACCTGCCAGGCTCCAAAACCTTTTTTTTTTTTTTTAATTTTATTTTGCTCCTTGTATCACAAAGCTCAGCTCATAACCTCCTTTACCCAGAAACACATGTATGAGCGCCACATGTCTTACCTTAGGGGAAGGGTACTCTGGAGTGCAGGGGCAAGCAGCGTCTGTGCGGGCAGTGGTGCCTGTGGTATTTTCTCCTCAGGTTCAGGAAATCTGAAAGAAATAACAAGCAGGAATAAGTCAGATTGTTTGCACTTGTAGCCTAAAACATATTTTTATATATTTTTTATTGTAAGTTAGATTGCTTGAATGAAAGAGCTACTTGTAGGTGTAGTCTTAGTCGTTTTAAACTAGATTTTATGTCTGCAGGTGGAGCCTCATGCATATCACATGACCTAATTAATCCCAAATGGAGGAGAGAGGATGTTAAAATCCGGATTTGTTTTTAGCACCAAAACAGATAAAACATCTATCTTTTTTTTTTTTTTTTTAAACTAACAATCCCTAATTGTGGCCTAGTTTTATCCTCTGTTGACTATAGACAAACCAGCTTTCATGGGTTTTATTGTCCGGGCCCTATTTTCCAACAACAGTGCGACCCCCTTCTAATAAAGTGGGACACACAGACCTAACACATGATTATTTTTAAACGTCCCTAATAAATCCACTTTGACTCCCGCGGTTCACAGGCTGCCAGCCAAGCCCAGGAAGAGATAAACTGCCAGATGACTTTATGACTCCCTCTTCCTCCCTCCCCTCCTCCTCCTCCTCTCTCTCCCCTCTGAAAGACACTGCTCCCCACGCCTGAAGGTAGGCTTCTTCACACTTGGCACTGCGACTCCATGTCATGTTAATAAAGCTCGGGTATTTGCATGGCGTTTTAACACCGTGATTAACAATGGCGCACCGGAGTGCCTTCCAGCCGGGGACAAAGGGGGCTCACTGGGGTCGCTGTGCGATCCCCGGAGGCGCAGCGCTCCCCTCCTCTCCTCTCCTCTCCCCTCCATCATCACATGATGCCTAATCACGACCCCAAAGCCTCCCTTTAACAACCGCTTGTCGTTTGTCTCCGCCGCAAGGCCGAGGAGCGGATAACCGCAAAAAGGCGCACCTGCTACGAAAAAGGCTGCACAAGCAAGATGGCTTCTTTTACACCCAGCAGCACTTAAACCTAGCAGATATACGGAGTTTGCTCCTTCGTAGTCGGGTTTATTTACAATAAAAAGAAGGAGTTGTAATATTAAAGTTAAGTTATTTATCACCTGAACATACCACAAGTTAGTTATGATAGTGCCGCATTCAAGTGTTCACAAAATGAGAAAGACATTAAAAACTCTTCGCAAAATTAACCCCAATGTCTAGATAAATCCAGATGAATTGTTTCAGTTGCAGTTTTGGGTAAAAAAAAAAAAAGATCTCAGTGTGTAGTTGGTTAATTTGATTGTCCTATTTTCAGCAAGTAACTATTTGATTTGATTTATATATAACGGGTTTTTCCAAATCCCATGTTTTTAACGACAACTCTTGAACGCACCATGTGCCGGTTTTGGGAATAACGGAATACGTGTAACTGAGTTACGTCATCAGGATACAAAAAAGGTAACTGTAATCCAAAAGTAACAAAAATAAAATTAAGTTACATTACTTTAATGTTGTAATACTTGGATTAAGTAGGTAATTAGTAACTGTATCGGATTACATTTTTAAAATTATATATATCACGTTAGTACATTAGCTACATCCCGCCATGATGATTGACCGGGCGTTATTTTACCTCGGTGTATTACTGCGCGTATATTATACTACATATATATTACAACAGCTAAAATGCAAATATTCGACTAAATCATTATATATTTGTTTATATTTAGTTTTAATTTAAGTTTTTAGTGAGATTAACTTCATACTATGTTTAAGATAACTTTCTGTCTTTGTTTCAGTTAAACTAGCGAGAAGTGCCGTTGCTATGGTTACCTGCCCTTTAACGTGCGCTGCGCAGTGATTTAGAACGCCGGTTTTAAAAACTGTTGACGGCGGGACTACGTTTGAACGGGTTTTTACCACCGGACACACCTGTCGGTAACTTAGGAAGCAACGTGAACGGTGTAAAGTTGTTTTCTGGGGACGCTTACCTGGTCTGGCGGAGGAGACTGGTGCTAGAGCGGCTACGAGCAGCAGCAGGAGCAGGTAGAACAAGCTGAAGATCCTCATGGCTAGGCAGCAGTTAATGATAACTTCACCACCCTCCCAAAAAAGTAGAGTCTTCTGGCTCTGAGCTGGACTTGGTGTTTCAGGAGTCTTTCTCCTTCTTCTGTTTCAGTCCGGGAAGACCCACCAACCCACGGCAGAATCCAGCAGGACGTGAAGTACCTTCTTGTCTCCGGATAATCAGTATGTCCCCGAGGAGTGTGTGTGTCCAAGAGTGTGTGTGTGTGTGTGTGTGTGTCCAGTGAGAGTGTGTGATTGTCTCTGAGTCTGAGAGCAAAGTGACAACGGTGCCTTTCCCCCCATCTCCTTTATACAGCCTTTTTTTAGTGGGAGGGGGGAGAGTGTGGAGGGGGTGTAGCTCCCACATCAGCCCCCCACCCCACCAAACTCAACCCCTGACACACACACACACACACACACACACACACACACACACACACACTCTTCAGCATTGCACATATTGACCCCACATGTAGAGGGTAATTCAAGTGACAGGAAGCCCCCTCCCTACCCTCTAACTGCCCCTTGAACACACACTCTCCTGCATGCTGCATTTTGTGTATGCATGCATGTATATATGTGTGTGTGTGTGTGTGTGATTGAAATATTTAAAGAGAGCGGAAGAAGCGAGCAATGTTGATTTATCACTTCTAACATTAGAGCAAATTTAAGAAGTTGAAAGTAGCAGGTTCCCAGAGCAAGACCCCCCCCCCTCCTCCTCCCTCAGATGTCCCCTACCCCCGCACTGACACATCTGGGGCTTTTTCTGGATGGTGGGGGGTGGAGGAGGAGGAGGGGGTATGTGTGTGTGTGTGTTTGCACTGAGCATTTCGGGGCCGTGGTCCTGAATAAGTGAAATTCAGTGATGCACTGGACTAAGAATTCTATAAGAAGTCTGACTGTCTGTCTGGGATGCCCGTCTACTGTCTCCTGTCTGTCTGCACGAGTGTCTTTCTTTGTGAGGAGGGTGTGTTTCTAACTAAATCGATAAAACTGTGGGGTTTTTTGTATTTTTCAAAATATTTTTTTGTATTTTCTTGTCTTTTGAGCTTTATTTTTTTAGTAAAGGGTCATCAAATCCAAAGTATGGTTTTCCAGAATGGTTCACTTTGTTAGCATCTTCTAACCAAAACCAAAATGTGTCCATAGCACTGAGTATTAATAATTATCAAGTAATTAAAGAAGGGCATTGAATGCTTGGTCAGATTCATCATCTATGTATTCTTTAATCACCAATCATTTTAAGCTCGGCTCAAATGTTTTTGAAACAGTATTGAAAATTTGCCAATTTTAGACTGTAGACAAAATTGGTGCACAGCCCAGAAATATGGCCTCTTTTGTTAATCTAAAAACAGTCGTTATGTAGAAAACATGTTAACTATAAGTAAAGTATAAAAACTCTATTGTATCTGCACTGGCATCGAAATAGTCCAACGACACCCGGCCCTACTTGTGATGCGTGTTGTCAGTCGGTGGTATACCAGGGGGATTTTCCTGCATCAGGTAACCCAGTTCACTTGGCACTAGCTCTGCGGTTGCCCGCTGGCTTTTGCAAAGTGTTGGGACTCATTAGCGTGTCTGCCTTACGGCCGTCTCTGTGGACTGAGACTCTCCATTCAGCACCCAGCTAATGAATTAACACATTAAGATGAAATGTCAGCCATTACATGTGAATGAGGATTAGAGAAGCAGCAGGACACTAATGGACCGGGGGCTCGAAAATAGTCACAGAGACTTTGAACAAGCATCTGGACCGTCGGCTCTCAAAAAATACACAAAAGAGGCCAAAAAGAGTTTCTCCATTTGTGGGCTGGTTTTTTAGTTGTGTGTGTGTGTGTGTGTGTGTGTGTGTGTGTGTGTGTGTGTTTGTCAGTGTCAGTGTCATTATGTCTTTGGAAATGTTGCCTTTATTGCTTTATGGTGTTTGCAAAAATGTTGCTTGAAATGACAGAGATTCCTCATGGATTTGGCCGACGTACAAACACATACACTCGCGTACACCCACACACACACATTCATCCTGCAGCAAACACTCAGCCGAGGTATGTAGTTTGTTTCTGTGGCGAGCTGCGCTTTGCATATCAGCTGCCATTGTCTTTTAAAAAACTTTTATTTTCCCTATTTGAATATGCTAATTTTGTCTCAATTGTCATTCAGAGCCACCTGGTATCCACTGCATCCGACTCTGCTGCCAGATCTCGGTTTCTCTTTGGCGTCTCTCAGTTTCTTTCTCTCTCTTAACCCTTCAAAACAGAAACAAGTGAATCGCACCGAATTCTCCCCACCAGGTTTTCTGTGTGACTGAGTAGGACATGTTGTAATATTTGCTCTTCCTGGGGATTATACGTCTTTACAGGGATTACCCAGCCTGCTCAAACACTCCCCTACGAGGCGCACACACACACACACAGAGGGCAACCTCCCATTAAACTGCGTCAGTACCTTAGCAGGGTTGCACTGCAGAGGTGACCCTCTCTCCACTGTTGAAGGTTGTGCTTCAGTGTGTCATAACTAGTGTTTTTGGTACCGAACAAAATTGTTTACCCTGTAAAATATGTTTTTTTAAATGCCCTTCGCAATCCGAGGTGACATCTTGTCTTATTTTGTCCCATCAAGAGTCCATAACCAAAGGATATCCAGTTTATTATGATATAAAACAGACAAAGGAAGCACATTGGAGAAGCTGGAACCAGAGGATGTTTGGTGTTTTGTAAATGACTTCAATGGTTAATCAGCTCTAGTACAACTTGCATCATATCCATATAACAATAAGCATCTTATCCTTATATATACTGTCACTGATCTTCTCCCTTAAGATCTTTTCACCTTCATTTGTAGTTTAACTCAACAGACTCTGAGCACAGAAGGACTGGAGAGTGAAAGTCAGTAAATATAGATGTAGAAGTAGTCATCTGCTGCGTGTACGGAAACAAAAGATCACAAAGTTAAACATCAGACTACGAGTAGAATAGTGCGCATTATCCCTTTACATGCATCATGTATGAGTGTGTAACTCAGGAAAGAGTTGGACAGACTTAGACTGCAGAGCTGCCGTTATAGCTGCTGTTATAGTAGTCACGGTCTTCCTAGTTAGCTGTGATCTTTACGACTACAGAGGAAGCTTCAGCCTCTCCTCCCCTTCTGAATTTTCGCTTTCTTCTTCCTCTCCCATCCTCTCCTGACCAGGACACACAGATAAAGAACTTCCCCTCTGATAAAACTTGTTAAGAGGAACAGTGTGTCATAAAAAAAGACTGTTTCTTTTCCACTGTGCCGAACATTATTGCATTGTACACAGGTACGCCTAACACGGACAAATACTGACATACATACAGATAAATACAAACAGCTGCATGGTAACATTAAAATTTTATACAATTTGTGCATCACTGTCAGGTATCAAACCAAAAACTGACATACCTGTCCTTTCCAGACATTATAGAGATTTAATTTTGGGGAAATTAGCGTTACTCATTATCACAATATATATTCATATTAGAGGTGCAACTGTTTTATATCCTGTTTTACAGTTGATTGATACAATATTTGTGCTAACTGAACATTCACTGGAGTTATTTCTCAAGCAAAAATGCCAAATATTTCCTTTTTAACTTCTCAGATGTAAGAGAATCTAGATTTTCTGCCTTGCTTTATATTATGTTAGTTATAATGAACTGAAAATCTGCATTTTAAGACTGCTGTTCGCACTTAACAAGTAATTTGTCACCTTATTAGGTTTATTACCAATTAAGATTAATTGGTAATAAAAATAGTTGCAGCCCTGAATGATATTGTGATATAAAAGTACATAAACTGTGATACAGTGTTTTATCCATATCATCTACTTAATATTCACTTACCTTTCATTGACACTGTTTGCCATAAATAGAATATTTCTGTATTTCTTTATTTAAGTTTTTTGCTTTAATTTGTCCTCGTTTTTAAAAAAGAAGAGCGTGTGATTCTTTCTTGCCTTTGTATTTGTAGTGATGTTACGTTTTGTAAATGCAATGTTATCAGAACCAGTTAAACTGAAAGCTAGAGCTTCTACAATATAACCTGCGTTGCACTGACAGTAGTTTTACTTCATTCTAGTGGACAGTGGAGTAGGTGATCTGAATTTTTTGGGGTGTAGTCCGATGTGTGTGATCTGATGGGTCAGTTCGTTGTCCATCGTTAGAGTGATAGTGGGTCTGTTGTCATGCCATAAGGTCGTCAGTGTTAATGAGGGCCGCAGCCAGCTTAATTACTCTTAAGGCTCTTTATCTCCGATTGCCCAATACAGTCCCCAATGGACGCATATACACATGAACAGCAGTGAACACCCAATACACACACTAACTGTATGGCCCATTGGGACACATCACACAACACAAATGAGCCGGGCGTTCTGTTTTCTTCTGCTGCTCTATGAAGAAAAAGATAGAATCTCAGGTTGATTAACTTCGTCTTTATTCTGGAGCGCCTCCTCCCCTCCGCGTCGGCAACTAGACGGCTGACTGTGGAGGAGTGACGGAGGGCTCAGGGGTCAAGGGGCAAACTCAACAGGGAGCAGCCTCTAACCCCCCAGGATGTCACCCCAATAGGGCCAAAAGTCACTTGGTTTGTTAAATCCTAACCCAGACACAGCGGCTTTTCTGGACACACAAACCCCAGTGTCCGTGCTGTGGCTTGAGTTTTTAAAGTGCAGTATGGATGTTTCTTGTTTTGTGGCCGTGCACTTCAAGACATACACAGAGGACACAGAGGACAGCATCATGGTTCTGCTTAATGTCTGCTCTTCCTCATTTAACTTTGAGTCATCTGTTTTTTTTCATAGTGCTCATAAAGTATCGCATACTTCATGAAATCTACAGATGGGAGAGAAAGAGAAAGCACTTCACTTATATCTACAAAGCAGAGCTTTATCTGCAAAGATGTTCCCTTTTAGACCTTTTTATTCCATTTTAGTCCATTTACTATAACATAATCCAACAATCAAAAGTTATACACCCATCAGCAACCTGGGCACCCTGGTGGTCATAATGTTATACAGCCCCGTACACAACTAACTGTGATGCACTGTGTGTTCTGACACCTTTCTATCAGAACCAGCATGAACCGTTCTCTTCCCACATGTATCAATGATACTTGACCGCCCACGACCCTGTCTCAGTCTGGTTCACCACTTTTCCTTCCTTGGACCACTTTTGATAGGTACTGACCACTGCAGACCGGGAACACCCCACAAGAGCTGCAGTTTTGGAGATGTTCCAGTCATCTATCCATCACAATTTAACTCCTGTCAAAGTCGCTCAAATCCTCACGCTGCCCATTTTTCATCAACTTTGAGGACAAAATGTTCACTTGCTGCCTAATATACCCCACCCACTGACAGGTGCCATGATAACGAGATAATCAGTGTTATTCGTCCTGTCAGTGGTTATAATGTTATGGCTGATTGGTGTATTTTATAGACAAGAGATAGGACCGATATTGGGTGAGGAGGTAGGATTTGTATGCGTCCTCAGAAGAAGCATTGCCTCAGCTGTATAATGCAGGTGCTCCGTGTTGGTTAACCAGTGCAGCTACATTTTTAAGGTTAGCTTGTAATTACAACTAATCTGTAAGTCCATTACAATTGTAGTTTCAACAATTTCACCTTCTTACCTAAGACTTTAATTTATTTACAGACTATTCATAATACATGACTGTCATCAGACTTTGACCTTTTTTTACATTTGTAGAAGAGGTTTCTTATTTGCTCAAAGGCAGACTGCATCATTCATGGGGGGAAAAGGTTATTGTTGGGAAAAGTCTGTGTTATAGACAAATAAAAAGAAAAAAGCTGAATAAAATGGGATGTTTTCAGTTCATTTTGAGTCTTTTGAGAGAACTTCATGGCGCATTGAAAACCCTCTGGTACACCACATCAAGATAGAGATCTCTGACTTTATGGTCTCTGTCCGGCTTGCTTGATGATCACTCTCTCCTTTTTTTTAAATGTCCGTGACTTCTTTGCTTTATAGAGACCTTCTTCTGTAAGAGAGCAGACATACAGTTTGCATGATGAGAAAAGACATTTATCTGTGTGTGTGTGTGTGTGTGTGTGTCTGTGTGTGTGTGTGTGTCTCTGACAGCAGCGGGAGGAGTGTGTACCCAGATCTGCTGCTTGTGGTTGGATGCAGACTGAAGCCAAGCTGAAGAGCGAGAAGATGACGAAGGCAATGATGATGAAGGTCAGCTCAAAGCCAGAGAACGGCAGGTCCATCTACACAACTAGCCCACACAAAGCACGTCATTACATTATGCAACACCTCCACATTGAGATAGAACAAACTGCCCGACACGGAAAATGACAAATCATCTTCTGTGACCTTGCTGTGTTGTTATTTTCCTACATACAGCATGAAAGATCTGACTCTGTGAGGTCCGTACAGTATATTTTACATTATTATTGTTCACATTCACACCCAGCAGTGTGTCATGTGATCAAGTCCATATACAGCACAAGTTCACTCATGCTTGAATGTACAGTAATAGGTTTTTAATTAAGGCTACACCAATACCGGTATCGGGTGTCAGGCACTGGGTATCAGGTCCTTGCTGAGCTCTTCTGCTTGTACTAAAACTGCTCTGGTACTGCGCCCGATATCACTTTACAGCAGTGTGATGTTATGTCACCTCTCGTTAGTTGAACAGGTAGGTGGAGGAGAAGCAATGGCAGCAGTTTGAAGACATTTTATGCAACTTTTATAACAAAAGAGAACTGAGTTAGAACTGAAATAGTATGCAAAGTACTCATACTGGTATTCGGTATCAACAAGTACCCAAATTTGTGTGCATACATTTATCAACCTTTATATGTACATTAAATTAAAGTTTGATGTATTTACATTATAATGTAGGCATAATGTATCCGAATACAGTACCAGGGCTATAGGATATAAAACTAAATGAAAATTACTCAATGAATGAGCTGAGCTACACACCTGCTACCAGTTTCATTCTTGTATGTGTCAACAAACGTGTGCTGCTTTACATGTTGCCTAATAATCACACTGAATTTACCTATTCTTTTCACTTTGTCCATTTACTATTCAAACTACTTAATATATCTGAGATGTGGGCAGCAAATCCCAGCTGTTAGACATTTATGATGTGGATGAAACTGGGACTGGAACTCATTGTGAAACTACCTGCCTCCACTAGGGGGCCATATAACCCCTGTTATTTGTGACTGTGCTCCTGTGTCAAACTACAGTGCTCTTTAAAGTGCTGGGTTGTGTCTGTTAACTAAGAATCTGAATTAGTTTCTGAGATTTATAGCACATTTATTTAGCAGAATATGATTACTGACATCCTGAGACATTTGAATAAACTATCCACTTCACATGATCTTTGCAGTATCATGCTGTGTTTAAGTTTCACAAAGTTAAGGATTGCACAGAAGTTTTTGTAAACTTTGAGTGGAAATTAAATAATTTTAATTTAATTTCCTGTCCAGACCCCTTTATTAAACCCTTAAGCTAAATTCATTCAAAATACCGTAGCTATCTAACTTTATCCAAATCTTTACTTTCTTAGTGTTAACTATAAAGTAGTAGTAGTAGAGTATGAATTCTTACACATTTCTTGTGGACACATCCCATGAAAACATGCGGAAATGCAACAAAATAAAAGAAAGAATGCATTAACAGGTTATCACTTATGTTTTATATTATTACAGAGAGGCTGAATTAATCATAATGGCCACACACAGATGGCCTGTAATTCACACATTTGTTTTGCTGCTGTAGATCTCTTCATTCACACCAGCACCACCCTTTGATCCCCAACAAGAATGATTCAGATGCCTCATTCCTGCAGAATAATTTGAGAGCTCACTCTAATCCTGCCAGCACACCTTTCTTTTTTGTTTCTGACCTAGAATTTGAAAAGCCTCTCCGGAGCTGTAGATTTCCATGAGAGATGACCTTTGTTGGACACATATTTCTTGTTTGAACAATTCAAACAGCGTAATACAACAAGAAAAGTTGAGTAAAAAGAAGGTTTTGAGACTTACCGGCAGAAGAACGACAGCAGCTATTTTCAGATCTGAAGATCAAAATAAAATTCTGTCACACACTCAGAGAAAAGAAAGCAGGCGTGAGATACTGTCTCTGGTTTTTTTTTCTGGAGCAGGTTTGTTTATTGATTATCTTTTTTTTTTACAGAGTATCCTCCAAGCCACACCTTCACCATCCTGGAAGGAGTAGCACTGGATCCTATAACAAAGTACACAAACACCCACATGTTCACAGGTCAACATTTAGACTTTGTTCTGGTAACTGATAACACACACACACACACACACACACACACACACACACACTCTGGTAACCGATAAAACGAGACTGACACGTCATCAAGAGGCACAGAACAGGAAGAGGAGAGACCACTGTTGCCCTTTGTCTTTAGTCATGAAGCTCATCTGGAGTCAGACGATCAGCTCCTCACTCTGATGTGTGTTTGATTCTGATGGACAGGAAAAAGTGATCACTCCCTTCCACATTAACGTACAATGTACAGTGAGACTAGAACACAATTATTAAGTAACTCTAAATGGAATAAAATAAATGCATTTATTTACTGTATTAAAACGTCAGTATGCTGGCGTTATCTGCAGCTGTGCATCTGACACTGTTTTTAAAGAGGTGTTGATTCAACTTTATGACACTTTACTGGGAGGTGTTTCTAATATTCAGTCTACTCTCATTGATAAAGCTCTGCTGGACAAAATGTCACAAACACCAAATAATAAAGATGTATGTCACACTTTACAGAGGTATTGGAAATAAACCAAAACACAAGGTACACGTAGGAAATAAAATAAATAACCAGCAGTATTAGACAGAAATACAATAGAATAGACATTTCAATTATAATAAAGATAATATCACAGAGCGCTGATAAATCAAAACAGAGTGTTAAACAAGTATCTTTAACAAGCTACGAGGAGAGGTGAAAGAGCACTATGATGTTCTACAAAAATGGGTTTTAAGTCAAAATTTAAAGGGGAAAAAAGACAATGAGAGATTATATTAGCCTTTGCTTGAGATAGATTTTGAATTAATTCCATTAATTTGCGGCTGTACTTTGCTGTAACTACATTAATAGATATTGTTCGATGCGTTTATTGTTTTGCACAATAATATTTCAGTATATACCCCACCATGCCAGTGTGCTAAAAACTAATGCAATGTAATACAGCTACCCTGCTGCCTGTAGAGTTGTATGGCATTATACTGAGAAGTGTCTCTAAAATCTTATCCAGCACATTTATGTTAATAAGGGTAGACATACAAACTACAGCCTTAAAAATCATAAAGTTGCTCTCTAAAACATTTCAACAGAATCAGAGCGTTATAACCTTCATTAAGGTTTTCACTGCAGCACTGTTATAATAGCTAGATTTACTCAGTACAGTCATATGTACAGTTGTATAGGTACACCCCTGGTATAAACTGGTATGAAAGTGGAGGTAGTCGTAATAATAATACTGCTTTTTGCCTTTTTAAAAATTTGATAGTTCAGCTGAAGATGGACAAGAAAGCAGGAATAGAGAGAGGGAATGACACGCAGCAAGGGGTCACGACTCAAACCGGGGATGCTGTGGTAAGGACACACTGTTAAGTTAAACAATACATATAAATTTAATATTTTTTTTTTCTGCACGGGGACAGTAACAAGTTATCTGTGAAGTAACTAAACAACAAAGTCAGACATTTGTGCTATGTGCAATGTGTGTGTGTGTGTGTGTGTGTGTGTGTGTGTGTGTGTGTGTGTGTGTGTGTGTGTGTGTGTTTGCAGTCGTACCATTCGAGTGTGCAAATTCCTCATTGAGCATCCCAGTAAGTGTGAAGAGGGTGAAAACCAGGAGAGAGAACATGATCGTCAACACCTCCAGCTCGGTAAATGGAGATGCCATCTACACCCGCTGCCACAGCTGTGTGTCAACAGTGAACATCTCATATGTAAAAACCCACCACAAAGGTGAAACCCTCTCCTATCACACACTAAATCAAAATTCAGATTGAACACTTACCTAAGAGTTTGTTATTGGAGCAATTAGATGTTGACCATCACACAGCAGCTTCATGACACATGACACACACACACACACACACACACACACACACACTTCTTCTGTCTCTCTCTCTCTCTCTCTCTCTCTCTCTCTCTCTCTCTCTCTCTCTCTCTCTCTCTCTCTTTTGCTTATCTCTCTTTGTCCCACACTTGCACGAACTGTGAAGAGCTGACTAACACCCCTCTCAAGTTCAAGTAAGCTCAAATTAAGCCTAATTATTAATGAGCCCTGTGTGTGTGTGTGTGTGTGTGTGTGTTTACCAGAAGAAAATCCCCCATGTAAAATGCATGATTGTCTTAACTTTAAGATTCAAGATTGTTCACAGGTCACAGGTAGGTAGAGTATTTTGGCAAATAGGATTTTAGTGTTGTTTTCCACATTCAATCATGACTCAGAAATGAAAGAGTTTCTTCCTGTTTGTATGACCCTGTTTGATGTGGTTACTGTCCTGCTGCAATGGAAACAAATCAATTATCCTGCAACTCCACCTGCTTATCATCAGTGCCGACTTGTTGCATACCAGAAGAAAAGCACTCTATTCCAGCAATACTTCTGGTATGCAACTGTGCAAGTGTGTTCTGTTTTCAGACCACAAACAAGCAGTTTCTAACTTCCTCATTTCCAATGCAATTAAATGGTATTGCAAGAATGTATATGTGTCAAACGGATGTGGGTTGGTACACATAGTATCTGAGTGGTTGAATGGTCGTCATCTTAAAGGCTGAAAGCAGTTACACTGTTGATCATGAAACTCACTGAACACGTTGTCAGTCGTCGTATTTCCAGTGAATCCAGTGGATGCACAGCTGGATGTCCATCAAAGTACAGAGGAGATTACCTGAACTGATAACAACCTCAACTTGAATAGCGTTTTAAATAGAGTAGATCTCCTAATTTGGGCCTTTTTATAAGACAAGGTGGAAACCCGACAGACAGATTGTTTTCGATACTACAAAACAAAAATCATATAAAAGATTTTTGCAAATCTGCTTGCAGGTTTTCTACCGCGTTCTGGCTCTCGCACAGAAAGACGACCTTCCCGTTCCTAATCCAACTAACAAAATCTCCTTTTAACCTCAAACTTTCAGCCAAAGGAGAGATTTATATATTCAATACATGGGTAGACCTTCTCATATACATTGATGGCCATTCAGTATTTACATTTACAGAATCCAACTTTTTAGGCATTGGGCAGCTGCCTCTGGATCAGACCCAGCGTCTGGACCACAGGCTACATGTCTTTTTTCCCTTTTGCCTTTATGTGACAGTTGAAAGTGAAAATGAACACAATACTTTATTATTATTATAACACACAACAAAGGACCACAGCATGAATCAAACAGGATGTTGTGTCTACATGGTATGCATTTAGATTATTTTTTATTTTATTTTAATTTTATTTATTTAACCTTTATTTAACCAGGAAAAGTCCCATTGAGTTACAATAACTCTTCTACCAGGGAGTCCTGGCCAAGACTGGCGGCAAAAAGTTTAAAAAATAAATACAAAATAAAAAATATACATAAAAGACAGGACAAAGGTTACATACTACACCACAAATCTCTGTACATACACTATACGTACTAAAACACAAACAAGACATTACACTTAACTTAAGCTAATACAGACATACAACTTAAAGGGCACTTAGTTAAAAACAATTACACTGTTCTGTCAGAGTTGACTTTAAAAGGTTTTTAAAAGTATTGAAAGGTGGATGTTTTTCCAACTACGGAAACTGCTGTCAATGAGAATCACTGGAAAACTCTAAGATGTGGGCAGCCATTGATGGGTCTAGGACCAGACTAAGGCCCTGCAATCACTCACAGGTCACTTACTCTGGTTTGGTTCAGTTTGAAGGTGCTAGTAGCTTGTTGCCAATTAAATGAGATCACAGGGCTCTATGTGCTAATGATTGCGATAAAGGTGAACATTTGTCCCGCTCCAAACAGAAGAGTCAGGCAGACGTTCATCAAACACAGTTCGTACACACCCACACAGCCCCAAAGAAGAAGAAGTTTAATCTAGCACTAAAGTAAAACCTGTAGGTGTGCAGAGCCTTTAAAATCTGTAAGAAGTTATGTTCTTTGTCTGACATTGTTTTACCACTGCAACAGCATTTCTGGTGTCAATGTGAGCTGGGCACAAATAATAACGTACATTAACTAAATGTAGCGTAGCCAGTTATTAGTTTACAATTCAACTTTAGTGTCAAAATTTATTGTGGTATAAATCCACCTCAGCGGTGCCCTGGTGGTCTGCAGGCGTAAGAGGCTGACCATGAAATCGCTACGTCCCGTTTGAGTCCAGCCGTGGCATCGCATGTCATTCCCCATCTTGCTCTCCCCTAATTTGCTGTCACCTCTCTGCCTTCAACTCCACAGACAGAAAGCCTTGGATAAAATGTGCTTATGAAGCTGAACAAGGATCAGTGATATACAAAATGCAGGATTCAATCTAAAAATAAAGTAATACCAATAAAAGAGAAGGGAAGAAAACGTTTGTTTGCCTCTTCAGCTGAAGCAGTCACTGCTCTTCAGTGATCACTTGAAGTTGCCTATTTTCCAGTTATATCAATCATAATCTTCATGGCCTGAGACAATCTGAAATAGGATTACACCCGCACCACCCAAAAACACACACTTACCACACACAGATCCTGTGAAGACACTGATATGGTTTGTGTATGCTTTGTGTAGCTTTGTCAATTTGTGGTCAGTCATGACTAATGTGCCTTTATTCCTTTGACATGACAGAACAAATGAGGTGGCTTAACATCTATTAACACATTGTTTCTTAGCAGGGAGTCCCTGAACAATCAGGCCATTTGTTTGTGTGTGTGTGTGTGTGTGTGTGTGTGTGTGCGCGTATGTGTGTCTGTTACTGCTGTGTGTGTTACTGCTGTCCATGTGCACAAGTTGTATAAGCTTATTAGCAGCACCACTGGTCAGAGGAGGAGATTGAGGTTAGTCTAAGCCCTAATCCTCGTGGACCGTATGCTTATTACCCAGCAAGCACGACAAAATCTTGGCCCCGCCCCTCTGAGAAAAACAACACATACACACACACACACACACACGTCACTGCAACACACATTTTCCCTGCCTCCTTGTTTACTGGTCAGCTCCATCTCAACTCTTCCTCTCTCCGTCTCTCTCTCTCAGCAGGAGGGCAGTGGAGGAGGTGGTGCGCACTGTTGAGTAGTTTCCTAGTCGTCATGACGACCTCACACCCCACCATCTCCAGAGCTGTCTTCCTGTTGCCACGGTGACCTGAGCCCGTTCCATCTCCACTCCTCTCGATGATCCGGATTGGGCTGATAAAGGAGAGCAATCCAGGAGCGCCTTCTCCTTTCCCTGAAAACAGCTTGTGGATGGGACAGAGGATCACACGCTCGGACGAGGATCGGAGGACGGGAAGGCGCTGCGTGCTGGGAATGCTGTGGGAGTAACACTGGAGCGTTGCCTGGAAACAGCAGCATGCCAGTACAACAGATAACTGTGGTTCCGGCAAGGGAGACTGCCAGCAACGGCAAGCGTGCTCCTCGCTCCAAAGACAAGACCGAGGTGAGTTTCTGACCTTCTAACTCTCTTCTCAAGCCTCTGAGGTTCCAGTAGGTTCGTGTTTTCTTTGGGGTTTTTTCAACAGTGAGGGCTTAAAACTGGTGTAAAGTTGGTAAAATGACAGAGATTTAAGATTCCAGAGATGTTCTTTGTGTTGTCAGAAGGTAGAAGTCATTTCATTAGTCGTTTAGCATTGTGTGTGTGTGTGTGTGTGTGTGTGTGTGTGTGTGTGTGTGTGTGTGTGTGTGTGTCTTCAGCTCAGTCACACATACAGTATGGATGCACTCAGCAGCCTTTTATCACTGTTTGCTCACTTGGGGTTTGATGTTTTCAGCTGCATCTTTTTTTAGAGAGACTGACCTCACAACAGAAATCTAGATAAAATATCACATTGTAGAACGTCCTAGAACGTCATAGAACCTCACGCCACGTCGCCTCACCTCACATCACCTCATGTTACGTCACATGCATAAGACTATAAAGTTTTTCCTCTGACAGTCGAGGTGGTTTGATGTGGAGAGAGAACCAGGGTCATTATGGCCATACATAAACTAAAGAGTTGGGTTCTCATGAAAACTATGAAGTTGTCGAATTGTTGTTGTATATTTATAGAATTTCTTCACAATTAACACACGTACATACACGACTAGCCCTCGCCCCAGTCTGATCCTGCGGCTTGCACTAAGCATTAGTCATTAAAAGCTTCAATCTGAATCAACTTGCTAAAATGAAAAAAAGGAACTTAAATAGTTTGAAGCCTAAGTGTAAAATGGTTTCACTTCCTCATATTTGGCACATTATTCTAGTGTCATTAATTCATCGCCTGTAGCCTCTCGACTGTCCACTGTCTATTTAACACTGTGTAAGGTTTGGTATTTGATGTGATATGGCGCCCCTAGTTTCAGAGTGCAATATCACTGTCACAAATATGAACAAGTCAACAACTTTGCTAACACAGCCAAACATCAACCAAGTGAAACAACACAAGACCGAGCAGGTCAGCTAATATTACTCACTAGTCCAAGCTCTCGCCAACAACTAAAAGCCAGTCCCAGATTTACTCTTGTCCGGCAGCTTCTCTCTTCTTAGCTTCTTCCATCAACGTCCTCTTGCGTCTCTTTGCCTCTGCCGTGTCCGCGGAGGCTGCTGAGCTCGGTTACATTGTCGCCCGCCGGCTCTGGTTCTCACACAACACCGGCTCTGCTCGCTGTCAGCATTCCCCACTGGCTCCCCGTCACCCCGGCCCTGAAAACCTTCTCCTCCTGGCTCCATCGCTTATGGTGTAAATATGCGAACACTCCCACGGTGCTTTGAGCTCCCAGTCCTCAGCGGTTAACTAGTAAAGTAAGAATTGAGACGGAGCATCCGGAGGACATCAGATAGGAAACCATAAACCTTTTCTTCATTAAATATGATCCAGTTTCACCACAATTGGTAATATAGTTGGTGGCTTAGCGTTTGTCCTGTCCTGGAGCCAAAAGTGACAAAACAGGCCAAAACATGCATACAGGGTGTAGAGTGTGAATGACACTATTAAACGTCAGTGTAGCATCAAAATGATTTTACAGCTGTTATTTTAAGGTAGAAAAGTTACATAATTGGGCTTTATGGTGAAAATCTCCTTTTAACCTCAAACTTTCAGCCAAAGGAGAGATTTATATATTCAATACGTGGGTACACCTTCTCACATACATTGATGGCCATTCAGTATTTACATTTACAGAATCCAACTTTTTTTTTTTTTTTAAGATTCAAGATTGTTCACAGGTCACAGGTAGGTAGAGTATTTTGGCAAATAGGATTTTAGTGTTGTTTTCCACATTCAATCATGACTCAGAAATGGAAGAGTTTCTTCCTGTTTGTATGACCCTGTTTGATGTGGTTACTGTCCTGCTGCAATGGAAACAAATCAGTTATCCTGCAAGCTCACCTGCTCATCATCAGTGCCCACTTGTTGCATACCAGAAGTATTGCTGAAAAAGCACTCTGTTTTCAGACCACAAACAAGCAGTTTCTAACTTCCTCATTTCCAATGCAATGGAAATGGAAAGAATGTATATGTGTCGAATGGACGTGGGTTGGTACAAATAGTATCTGAGTGGTTGAATGGTTGTCATTTTAAAGGCTGAAAGCAGTTACACTGTTGATCATGAAACTCACTGAACACGTTGTCAGTCGTCGTATTTCCAGTGAATCCAGTGGATGCACAGCTGGATGTCCATCAAAGTACAGAGGAGATTACCTGAACTGATAACAACCTCAACTTGAATAGCGTTTTTAAAGACAAGGTGGAAACCCGACAGACAGATTGTTTTCGATACTACAAAACAAAAATCATATAAAAGATTTTTGCAAATCTGCTTGCAGGTTTTCTACCGCGTTCTGGCTCTCGCACAGAAAGACGACCTTCCCGTTCCTAATCCAACTAACAAAATCTCCTTTTAACCTCAAACTTTCAGCCAAAGGAGAGATTTATATATTCAATACATGGGTACACCTTCTCACATATATTGATGGCCATTCAGTATTTACATTTACAGAATCCAACTTTTTAGGCATTGGGCAGCTGCCTCTGGATCAGACCCAGCGTCTGGACCACAGGCTACATGTCTTTTTTCCCTTTTGCCTTTATGTGACAGTTGAAAGTGAAAATGAACACAATACTTTATTATTATTATAACACACAACAAAGGACCACAGCATGAATCAAACAGGATGTTGTGTCTACATGGTATGCATTTAGATTATTTTTTATTTTATTTTAATTTTATTTATTTAACCTTTATTTAACCAGGAAAAGTCCCATTGAGTTACAATAACTCTTCTCCCAGGGAGTCCTGGCCAAGACTGGTGGCAAAAAGTTTAAAAAATAAATACAAAATAAAAAATATACATAAAAGACAGGACAAAGGTTACATACTACACCACAAATCTCTGTACATACACTATACGTACTAAAACACAAACAAGACATTACACTTAACTTAAGCTAATACAGACATACAACTTTAAGGGCACTTAGTTAAAAACAATTACACTGTTCTGTCAGAGTTGACTTTAAAAGGTTTTTAAAAGTATTGAAAGGTGGAAGTGATTCTAGATTTAGACTATTTTATGAGGATGCCCACAGACTGCATGTTTGGTAGACTGTAGTCAGTGCAGCATAAACATGATACTCATTGAATGATGCAGGTCTTTGGTTTATATAATTTATAATCCATCTCGTATTTAAGATATAACAAATGAAATCTAATGTTGAACAAATTGATTTTCATTTTTAGGGCTGTTTAGCACACGTTTATAAAAATAATTTATATAATCAGAAAGCAGACTCTTTAAACTTCCCTGAATCCTGCAGTGTGTTTAAAGGTCCAATGTATAATCACCCTGAATATAAGTATCATTGTGTTTTTATTACCTCAGACTGAGCTGTTTTTATCTACAGACTCCGTGAGGTCACCCTTTTGAACCATCATGTTTTCTACACTAGCCCAAAACAGACCAACCAAACACTGTAGACAGTTTCACAGCCACCCTAGTTTCTCTACTAAATTATACCCACTGGTCCTTCAATCTTTCTTAAAGTTACACTTCTTACTGCTTGGTAGCAAAAGGAAACGCCACACATACAATCCTGATCAATAAAGAATCAGAATCTGATGACAGTTATTGGGTTGTTTCCTTACGTTGCCACGAAGACGCCACAATAACACAACCCCCGAAGAAGCAGATTAGTGTATAGAGTATGAAACGCACATTAATGAACAAGTAACAAGTTCAATTTCATGTTATAAAGAAATACTTTGTGTTAAGTTCCTTTCAAACATGTCGTGACCGGATATATTCGGTGCAGCTGCAGCTTCATGGTTGGTTGTCTAAATGTGGCTGTAGGTGTTTTTTGATCCTGAGCCAGAGTACAGAACCAAAATATAGCCCTCAGTCCACGCTACATCACTTAATCCCCTCTGCAGAAACATGCACATGTCCACACAAAGACTCACCAAAGTCTCTGCTGTGCATCAGAGTGAGAGTGTCGGCAGAGGAGCAGACACTCAGGTAAGTGACAGTAGGTTGTCCCTGATGCAGCACTTTATTGATAGTGAACTGTAGGTTGAACTGTAGCTGTGCTTAAATGAGGCTCTGGCAGGAAGGACCACTGGGTGTGATCTCGTGACTTTCAGTTTTTGTTAAACTCTTGTAGTGTTTTTTAATTGAAAGTTGTCAGTGCTTTGTTGTGACGGAGCTGTCAGGATATGTTGTTTCTTACAGGTTATTTGTTTGTGGCGAGGTGTAAAATATTTAGATACATGAAAACCCACTATAGGGGGACTTAGATGGAGGTGTGGACTAAAAAAAGCCTGGTATTGAAGATTGCTCCATACATTTATGAGAATAGATAATTTGTCTTTATTAAAGTGTCTGTAGTTTATCTGTGTGTATTTGGTATGAGTCAAAGAGTTGGAACATCTGAGTATGATAATGTTATAAATGCAACTACTGTACAGATGCTACAGACCATACATAACACACATAGGAGAACATGTTGAATGTCTTCACTGAAGCATAATCGGAAGTTCTTTAATATAAAACTTGGATCTGTGGTACATTGTGTCAGTCTGCTGTCCTCCACACATTCCACATCCACTTCACATTTTCCTCTTGTTCTCCTCTCAGTTTACCGATGCTGTGTGGCAGTGAGAGATGTTTATGACTGATGATATTGATGTAGTCACATGGCTAGCTCAAAGTATTTTACACTTTCACACAATGTGCAAAATAGGTTCTTTTATATGACTTTCTTACAGGACTGCATCCACTGATTTGTGATTTCATTTATTTGCTACAGGTTACTAATACCAACATTAACCAATATGTACAATATTTATATGCATACATATCGCAACATAAACTGCCAGCTAATAGCAGAATTAGAGAGTGGTATGACATACAATAAAGGCTGTATTCCAACCGGCTGCGGCGCTGTAACCAATTGGCTGCGGAGG